CATCATACAGATTGACCGAACAATTCTGGCATGTATGGCAAACCCAATACCTCACTAAATCTTCGGGAAAAGCATACCTTGCACGTTGAAGACCAAAAGAGGATGCACCCAAACTCCAAAAGAGGGGACTTTGGTTTTGATATGTGAGGCAATACAACCCCGTCATACTTGGAAAATGGGAATTATCCAAGAGCTCGTGTGTAATTCTCAGGGAACGGTACGTGAAGCACTAGTTCGGCTACCCTCACGAAGACGTATACGAAGACCGGTAAACCTTCTCATACCCTTAGAAATTGAGGAGGATAATACTGCAATATCTAATAAGTCTAACGACGATTCCGAAAATCATCCAGCCACTGAAACTTATCGTTCCAGCGAATAACCCCAATAACAACCCCGAACCGACGGAGGAGCAACCCCGCTATCATTTCCGCAATAGAAGACTCATCAATTACAGTGACGACCAATACGAAAGAGGAGAACCTACGCGCTTCAATACATTCTCTGTAAGTCTTTTGCTCCACCTAATAAGCACTTTCTGTATTACGACCGTTTGGGCATCAAGTAATCTCAGTTCTCAATACAATGTTCATTGTATAGAAGGAGGCGTTCAATTGACAGTGCTAGACGTAGCGCCCTATGAGCTTTGTGCTGACCAATACTGTGTTGAATTTGGAAATCCGTCAAAGCAGGAAACAGTGATCTTCCCACCCCAGGTTATCCTACACGAACATAAGGTCCAATGGAAACTACTACAAAATCAAGCCATAATGACGATAGAAATTTCTTGTCCTCCGGCTCCATTCTGTAAATTCGTAACGTGCACATTTTGTAGCGCTAACATCATTAACCCGGAATGCTGGCCAGTGAGAGCTATACTCGCTGTTACAGCATTGATATACTTCCTTTTCACTGGATGTTACGTATTCCTTTATGTACCAATAATCGTAGGCACCCCATTCAGGCTACTGATGACTGTAGCATGGTGTATCACTACTTGGGTGTTCGGCAAGATAAACCGGCTGAGTAAGAGAACTAACTCTAGAGCGCTTCGACGTAGGCAACTGGCGGAAATAATAGCAATAGTAACATTGCTAATACCCCTCACACGAGGATGTCAAACCGTAGACCTTTCCGAACATTATTCTACGGTTTGTACGAAAAACTCCAATATTTCTTGCCAAGTACACCTTTCGGAAGTATTCAAAATCAATTCTTTCAAGCAAGATGCCTGTCTTCGACTCTCCCTCAATAACACGCCGGTGCAAAACGTTAACCTACGTTGGAAGTCCCTGGATTTGAGATGTGAACCGGAAACTGACCTCTTCACAAGAGATACTATTTACAAGATAGTAGATAGTAAACGATGTGCTAATAAAGGTTCATGTAAAGAAGAGAAATGTGGAGCGGTTAATTCTTCCACTCTTTTACCAGAACTCCGAGAGGGGAACCAATATCCAGGCAATACGGGTTGCATGGAATCATGCGGAGGGCTAGGCTGCCTATGCTTCTACCCAAGCTCCGGCTGCCTTTTTTATAGGATATTCCTGAAGCCAAGGAGCGAACATGTATTCGAGGTCTTTCATTGTAATCGATGGGCAGCCAGCGCAAAAATAGAGATAAGCCATTCAGAAGGAAGGCACAAAATACCTTCCACGGCCATTGTAGAGCTTACGCCGAACCTCCCAATACAGTGGAAATCCTTTAGTCTGACACTAACCTCGTTGGCTCTTCCCCCAACTCCTTTGTTTAACACTTACTTTATTTCCGATGCAATACGTACAGCTATATGGAAAAGAGAGTATCATGTTGCACTGCGATGCCCCGACATAAATAGCGCACGACGTTTTGACTGCCCGGCAGTAGATAATTGTGTGTGTACACCAGCGGAAAACCATGTAAATTGCAGGTGCTCCGAATTCTCAATAACCGGTGGGTTCAATAACACGAGAAATCAGTTACCAGTGGTCTTTCCGGCACTAACCTTCTTGCCACACCCGATCGTCGAAAGTTCAGGCAAGGGTTTTCTCAATGGTTACTGCCGAAATTGTCACCACGTTTGAAGCGGCCTATAAACCAGAAATTTTGGTTGATGAGCAATATGTACGTAGAGGACTCAGATCTCAACGGGTGCTATGGATGTGCTAAAGGAGCTTTCAGCATCCTGACTTGCATAGCGTCTCGGGACCAGGTTCAAGCAGAAGTGCGTTGCGATCTATGGGGCTTTACACTCCCATGCAATACAACTGGAGTCACTTCTACGATACGATTTACGTTTACCACGGCTCGAAACTCCCTTACTTGTTCGGTTTCATGCGGCAAACTCGTACATCACTTTACGATAGAAGGTATTCTGAAATTCGTCGCAATTCCAAGTGAAATTATCAGCCAGTGGTTAAAGGGAGAAACCATAACCCAGGATGATTTCACATGGCCCGACTTTTTGCATATTCTCACAGTTTTTGCACAGTGGTATAAAACTGTTTTGGTAGCAATAATCGGATTACTGGCGGTATTGGCACTGACCTATTTTTTTATTTCTATTTGTGGGATGCGGATCCTACTTTGGGTTCTGACTCTAGTTCCCAAAATAATCATTTGTTCCGTCATTAGCTTGCTCCGCACTCTTTCTTATTGCAGAAAGAAAACGGTACATAGGAAACAATATTAATTCAATAACATGGTAACGTATAGTAGTGATAGTTCTTTTTTCAGCACCAATAACCCACCATGTCGATGAACTACTTGTCTGAAATGCCGTTCTTGTCCAACTTGCACCTGGACTCAACCTCAGCCGAACTTTTGGAGAAAGACCTGGCCAATAGTCTCAGAGAGATACACGGACAAATCAAGGTGACGAAAACACTAGGAGTGTCATTGGCAGCATCATCTCGACGAGAAAGTCATCGCAGGGGCCCGAGCAGGAGAACAAATTCTCCTCATCAACAGGTTCCTCAGAACCGCTTCAGTGACTAGGGAAGCAATGTGGGGATGGACACAACGCTTTCTGACAATCGACTCATTATATCAGAGGATGACCGACTCGGGACAAGTTCCCCGCTTGGAAGCGAAAAGAATGGCTTGAAGATGGGACGGAATATGACACGTGTGCCAGGGACCTAATTCCAATAGTCCACGACAGCATGAAGAAGCTAGACCAATATGTAGAAGTTCTTGAAAAGGAGCTCGCAAAAGCTGAGACCCAGCTCCAGAAGGAGAAGCAATGGCAAACGGATGCGATTGTGGTGGTAGAAGGGACGTCACCTGGAGAGGAAAAGCGAGAAAGAAAGTCTGAAGTTCTCACGGATGACGAGTATATGGATCGCTTAATTGAGGAAAACAACGGTGAAGAAGAGGAAATGGACCACGTGGATTGTGCAAGACGGAACTTCAATGAGGAACCCTGCTGTTCGAGCCAAGAATCTGAAATGGCCCGCCTAGAGAGAACGCTGAAGGAACTCGAATATGCTCACTACTACCTTCCAAAGAGGAGAATTGGCTGGCTCTCCCCTTTGAAGAAGGACGACGTCAGGTGCACCTTCTGTTCGTCCGTGTTTCACTATTCAGACTCCTGCCCAATAATAACAGACGGGGACGAGAGATACCGTTTTGTCAAGAGAAGGAATATATGTTCAGTACTGCATAGGAAACTGTGTCCCCAACAGAACGTGTCCAAAGAAAAGGACTAGTGTTTCTACTGTGCAGTGATTTGGAAAACCGAATCCCTCCATTTCTTAATCCCTGACGATGCTGGGCACCATCGCGCTCTCTGCAATATCCCAAATTCAAAAAATTTTATTACTGAACGTATCCAAGAAGTGAGGAACGAAATAGAGAAGATAAAGAGTTCCCTTTAAAGCTGTTGGCCGGAGTGTCGCAAAATGCGACTTTTCCCATGATTTCAGGCAAGTAGCTAGCTATGTTTACATTCCTTTGTAGCGCTTATTCTCTTGAATGCTTGGGAAAGGCTAGTTCTCAAAACATAATTTCCTCCTAGAAAATTATGTTTACAGGGAAAGATTTAATGGGCTCAATAGTCACGTAATCCGGCTGTATATAAGCTTCGCAATACTCTCCTTCGGGGGAGTTGAGATTTCCTATCTACTTCAACTAGTATTCTGCTGATCGCCCTTTCGGCCTCCATTCAATACCAGGGATCGGTCTGACCTCTTCGTCTCCCCTGCAATTCCACGACTCAGCTTCTCTGCAGCACCGATCAGTCGGCCGATAAGCTGCGCAACGACAGGCAAGCGTCGGCTCTACTCCCGACTGGTAGCATCTTATTCCTCTTCTGCCGGTCTTCTACTTCCTCAGTGTATTCGAGATATTCCAGGCTCCGTCCGACACTGAGATCGGTCGACTCCCTACGGCTGCGGGCCCCGACTTCCAGACTGGCTCCCTCCGATTATCCTGTGGCTGCTAGCAAGACCGGAATCGTCTATTCCAGGCTAGTAGCTGAGTATTCAATTTCTATTTCTGTCCTAATCCAGTGGTACAGTTCTTTCCATTCAGGCCCCTTTCACTAGAGGAGGATCCACTGCCTGATCCCTCGGCCAGACATCGGCAATACCCTCATCAGCTCGGTACGAGGCCTTCAATACCATTGTGGACTGCAGACGAGACGGAGCTGCTCGAATCTACTGGTCTTTCTTGATGTATTCTGATTACTGAATAAAAGAATTTCATTGATTACCGCACGTGGCACATTATCAAGGCGGCTTCCCACAGGGAGCGTGTTAACTGCAAATATAGAGCTGAAGGTTTCAAATGCTATTACACTGTGCTCAGGCATTGCAAGAGGCGTATTCACCTGAACCTTCTTGATAATTGGAGAATTCAGTAGTAATAGTAATATCTAGAACCGACTTGCCACGTGTGAGCATTTTGACGTTCTGTACAAGGCCACAGCATTGGGAAGATTCAGGAAACTTGTAAGAACTTGAATTAATAGCTCTCTTGTTTTCCATTGCTTTCCAAACAACTTCAATGTTAAGATCACTAGAGCAATCAATGTCAAGGAAAAATGTGATGATTTAGGAGGAACTCAACAAGACTCAAATTATCTTCATAGGTTTAGCTCGGCGGTGGATACACTGTTACGATTCTAATCTGCACAGAGCAAGACTCATAAAACCTTCAAAGCAGAGTAGTTCAGAGTTTAGGGAGGAGTTGCTGGTATGTTAATCAGTGCAAGCACGACTGCAGATTTACCTATCCGGTGGACACCTCCGCCTTTACGGCCTTTATGATCAAATGATAGATATTATAGGGGCGTCCACCGAGAGTTTTAGAACCTATGTTCTACATGATAGCCATGTCTCAGTAATAAAAACTGTGTCCGTGTTATACCTGTCTGGAAAGAGCTGCAAAGGGTGTATTTTGTTACCAAAATCTCTCTCGAGAAAACATCGGATGCCAAGGAGTGTACCATGACCGTTCACACGTTTCCCGAGTGCGGCTTCTTTGGAAGCTTGTGGTACGCCTTAACCCACCGTGGTACACTACCCAAACGCGCCCTTTTGACTAATTGTTGCGAGCTTTGTATTCCTCTCTCAATTTGAATAACGCTTACGCTCTACAACAGTTTAGCTTGTGGATTCTTTCCTTTTATCCTGAGCATTCCCCTCTGAAAACCTCTTCATGCTGCTCAAATCTCCAAGACAGGGAACGAGAACTGAAGCACAGGCATCGGGCGAACTCGCTCAGAGGCGCGCCGTTCACTCGACATTCGACTCCCGAACGCTGTTCTGACCAATTCGGCCCTTACGATTCGGCCGATACCGGCAATTATGTCATGCAGCCTCTAGGCCTTAATTGGACCACCCCTCTCGTCGAGGCTCCCTCAACGCATGCTTGACCCTGCTTCATGACTACTTGACGAGTATAACGAGTTCTCGGGCTTGGTTTCTCAAGTCGCGCCGTTGATATCGTTAGCGTACAAATTTTGTTTCGAAAGAGCACCCATCAAACGGATGTCTTGAGTCTTGCACTCTTATACTGAGTTCCCAGCTCTTGATTTCTGACGGTTTACTTACATTTCTTTTCCAACACTGCAACACTTCGCTCCTCTGCTTCGGCACGGCATCATACTGTTTCTCGTGATGGACTACACATCTTCTCTCTTTCCTCGGCTATTTGAATGCAAAATCTTGCTATTCCTCCGTTTATAGTCCACACATTCATTTTCACGTCTTTTTTGCTGGTAATACTCGTATAATACCAATGATGCATGCACCCTTTGCAGATGTAATATTTCCTTGGTTGGAATAGTTTCTCAACAGCCAGAATTTTTTATTTGGGGAACAATTGAAAGAGGATCCTATGGCGAGCCCCTTCTCGTGCGTCTGGAGGAGTAAAGATGGAATTAGTGAGTGGGATAA